ACCGAGGAAGGCGATAAAGTCAACTATTTAGATGGGTTAATTTCTCACTTAAATCCCGAGACAAGCGAAACTGGGGCCAAAATATCGGAAGAACAAACTGAGATACAAAATCTCGAGAAGGAATTGTCGGAACTCGAAATAAAACGAAAGGCGATTGAAGATAAACTGTCGCATATGAAGAAATCTAAAATTTCTGAAAATGAAAGTGGAAGTACCACTAAGATTTCTGCTGAATCAGCAAAATCACCTTTGTTTGGGTTGAGTTCTACGATTCTCCATCGAGACTTCAAAATCCAAGGTATTATTGGGCAACCCTCCCAAAAAGATAAGTTGGGCTACCAAGCTTTGATGTCTCAGATAGAGACGGGTAAAGATAAAGGCTATTCAGACAAAGAAATTATGACCGCTGTTATTCGGGCTGTGCAACTGGGGATGCAACTTAGAAGTTATCTTGAAAGTGTGAGTGGGTTGACCCTACCTAAAATGCGCAAAATATTAAGGTTCCATTTTCATGAGAAAAATGCGACTGAACTTTATCAAGCACTGACAAACATGACACAACAACCAAATGAAGACCCACAAGCATTTCTTATGCGTGCACTTACTATCAGACAAAAGATAATTTATGCTTCAAAGGAAAGTGACAGTGCTATTAAGTATGACGGCGCATCTGTGCAAAGCCTATTCCTACACGCTCTTGAGACTGGGTTAAAGGATGAAACTATACATGCCAAAATACGCCCATTGACCGACAATGCTAATGTGTCAGATGAGCAACTCATCGAAGCTGTGTTTATGGCTGTTTCTGCATCTTAGCCATTCTCTAAATAAGGTTCGGGACACGAAAGCTCGTGTTTCTGCACTACAGAATGAGGAAAACGTGGGCGAAAAGAGGGAAGTTTTAGCTAAACAAGTTAGAACTGAGTTATCAGCAGTGCAGTCTGAAGTTAAAACACTTTGTGAGACAGTTAGCCAGCGAAATTCTGAAGAACAACCCGAAGGCCAAAGTAGGAATGTAGCACCCACTAAGAGATCAGAGTGTGACAAGTGTAAAACATCTGGGGAAGAATGTAATCACTGTTTTCATTGTGGTGGGTTAAACCACATAGCACGATATTGTCGGTCACAATCAAGAAACCCTTCGGGAAACGGTCGAAGGCTACCCCCGCGGGACAGGGAGTAGCCAGTGAACAAAATACGACGTCCTCATTGTAGTAATTGCTTGAAAATCTTAACGAACCCGCTGTAACAGTGTTCTCGATGCAAGTCAGTTTTATATTGCTCATTAGAATGTCAACAACAACACTGGTCTAGTCATAAAAACTTATGCAATGCCATCAACAAGATAAATAAAATAGAACACGAGGCAAGTCGTGTCATGCCAGGTGACAGTCTAGACAAACATGTTTTTCCTAGTCACATAGCACCAGCACGTCAGGCTCAGGTTGCTCGGCTTGTTGGCAATAAGTGTTCTGTACGTTGTCGTTTTAATGATGAAGCTATCACTGCATTATTTCTGGTTGGGTATGTTTGGGCGAATTTGGTGAAATGATCAACTACTACGAGTATGTATTGATATCCACCTGAACTCTGTTCTAGGTGCATAAAATCGATTGATATCATCTGAAAGGGCGCTGTTGTAACGATCGGGTGTAAGGGTGCCACGGTGTGATGACTCGGTTGTTTTTCCTTTATGCATCAGCATGTCCGCTGTATGAAATGTTCGATATCTTTCCTCATATTAAGCCAAAAGAATCTTTCTCGAGCAAGGGCTAACACTCTTTCTACCCCCATGTAATTCGCGGTAAACCAACCGTTTGAATTTCTGAGGCAGGACCAGCTGTTGATTATGATACAGCAAACCGGTCTTCTTATCAATGTGTAAATGTTTCCATTTATTTAAGAACTTCCGTACTTGGGGTGGTTCTCGGCGTTGATCAGTTACTTTCGGCTTTTCAATCAATCAATCAATAATTTATTCAAAGTACCTACAATAATATTGAGGCCCTTGCAGGAGATCTGGAGGTTAACCCTACATAAAGATCACCTTTACCTATTACTAAGTTAAAATACCTAAATGTTAAATTACAAGTACATGTCCATGTTCGACTTCACAGGGGTTTCAGAATGATTTGAAGTAGGCGGTTGTACCAAAAAAGTAGCCGGCTATGACTGATAATTAAAAAAACGCGCAGGGAGGGGGGGGGGCGTGCCCTCGCATGGAAATTTTAAAAAAATTTCGCGCGCAAATTAACAATTAAATAATATAGAATAAGTGAGAAGACAAAGTACAGCTGTTCACTTGTTAGATTTAGATGTCATTTGCATTTATACTTGTAAGTAACAATGTACTTTAATGTGCTACTTGTAGTTTAATCACCAGGGGGGTTTGCTGTCCGGAAAATGAAGACGCAATTTACAAACAAAAATATGCATATTCTACGAACAGATATATTACAGTAGCTGAGTAGCATGCAGTGCCGTTGGAAGCTTTTTTTGACTAGGGGGCTGAGAAGGAGGGCCGAAGGCCCGAGGAAATTTCTTAATTTAGAGTCCCTGAAATGCCATTTCCTGGACTTTGGGGAAGTTTAGAACAGAATTCTGATGGTGAGAAAACAGCGTATTAGGGGGCGGATAGAAATTTGCCCGACTTTTCGGGATTTTGCCCGACTATTACCTAAAAAATTTTTTCCGGAAAAATTTTTCTGGCGACCACCCCCCCCCGTCGCCAAAAAATTTCGGTCAGTGTACCATTTTAGGGGTCAAAAAATTTTCCGGACGTACCAAAATTTTTCGGAAAATCACACAAATTTTACAAACACCACAAAATTGACCACAAAATTTTCTGAATTTCCGACAAAAATGACAGAATTTGTCCCATTTATTTTTATAACAAACCAAAATTGCCCGACTGTTTATCGAATATTGCCCGACTGCCCAAAAAACTGGGGGGGGGCTACCGCCCCCGGCCCCCCCGCCCGGTACGCCTATGTTTCGCTACGGTCCAGAGTTTTTCACTTCATCACTTTATCATAATTAAGGTTACAGGACACCCTTTTTGGTGTTTTGCGGAAAATCGCTACTGCGTGCTCAATATCAGTCCGATTTTCATCAAATTTTCACCAAATGTTCTCCAGTGCATGCAAAATATGATAAAGTTGTAAAATTAACAAACAATAAAATAATGTAAGAATTATTCAGGAAAATCTTAAATCGCGGTACCGTTACGCTTTTGAGTTGTGCTCCTGCTGGTTTTAAGTTATATTTATGAAAATATCATTTTTATACAGTAAAATAGTTGTTCTAAAAAATTGTGTTCGGAAATTTTTGTTTATTTCGTCATTCCGCTGATATGGCGATTTCTTTGACGACTGCAATATATTTCTGAATCGTTTGAGTGAATTGCTCTTTATTTTTAAAATATCCAAAATTAAAAAAAAGCCGAACACAATTTTGAAACTGACGTATTTAGCTATGTCCTGTGAAAATTTGAGAAAAATTGGTTAAAACCCGCAGGAGCACAACTCGTTTGAAAATCAGTAATTACCGTAAAATTCTTCGGGAGAAAATTGAATTTGAATATTACATTTTCAATGTTTTTCTTATTGCAGAGAAATGTATTTTATTAAATAACTCTGCGAGTTTTCAACATTTTTTGTTCAAACTTGGTCAGATGGTAGAACTAGTCTAATGCTTTCATTGAAACCAATAAAAAAATTTTAGGCAAAATTAACACTCAAAGGTGTTCTGTAACCTTAATCTCCGCCTCTCCGGCTCACTGTCAAATTTAGATTCCCCAATGGCAATGCTTAAAGCCTGTTTTCCACTCACGTATTTCGCCGCCGCTGGCGAAAAATTTTGACAAAGAAATAATTTTTTTTACATTCATTCGCCGCTGAAGAAATTTGTTCTCCTGCTGCAGTTGCTTAAAATTTTCAACTTCTGTTTGACCTTTTGTTCACGGCGCGAAAGAACAACAAATGAACTTTTTCGGTGGCGAAATGTTTCGCCAGCGGCGGCGAAATACGTGAGTGGAAAACGGTCTTAAGTCACTGTCAGAGTCAATCAGAGTTATTTTCCAGGAAGATTCACTTCGACACCAACTTAAGAAAGCAAGCTATATTTGGTACTATATATTATTGATCTTCCAAAATAAGTGATGTTTTGCTTGAATTCCAATTGGAACATAGCAAACATCGTGTTGGTTCGCTTGTACCTTTGTATATAATTTTTTTCCTGTGACCAGACGAAAAGTAGCCGGCGGTAAAAGTTCAAGTAGCCGGCGGAACTCCGCCGGCCGCCGGCTTATTCTGAAACCCCCATACAAGGCTCCTTCTTTAAATTCTCTAATGTTATTTACTTCTACAACCGAGCATGGTAAACTGTTCCAGTCACTGATAATCCTTACAAATAGTGAGTATTTGTAACAATTAATTTTGGGTAGTTTAGGATATAAGGTGTATTGGTGGTTAGATCTTGTCCTCTTGGAGTGTCTATATTCTAAAACTTCGCTGAATATTATGCCGCCATTAAGTTCAAATACTATCTTGTAGCACTCTACTAGGGAAAGAAACTTTCTACGTTTTTCTAGTGTGTCCCATTTTAGCAATTTACAACGTTCGTTGTGTGGCATTTCGCCTCGTTTCTGTTTCAGAGCAATTCTCGATGCTCTTCTTTGAACACGTTCTAGGGCTTTCACGTCTTTAACCAGATATGGCGACCAAACTGGCGCTGCGTATTCCAAGACAGGTCTCACCAAGGATTTATATAATGTGGAAAAAATGCTCGTACTTGAAAAACCGATAGTCCGTTTAATTAAACCAACAATACGGTTAGCTTTCTTAACTGTCGAGGCAACCTGATTACTCCATGATAGATCACTAGATACAATTACGCCTAGATCTTTAAATTCGTTCACCACTTTTAGTTTCTTGTCAGACAAGTAGTATTCGGGTATTGATTTATCTTTATGATGAGTTATCCGCATAACTTCGCACTTATCAAGATTGAAGCTCAATTGCCACAAATTTGTCCACTCACTCATACGGTTCAAGTCTGACTGAAGTATTTCCCCGTCGTTCTCTGGGTCCGATAGCTTACGGTACACTTTTGTATCATCTGCAAACAGCTTGACGTGACTTACAATTTCATTCGGGAGATCGTTAATATAAATTAAAAACAGAATAGGTCCTAAAATTGTTCCCTGTGGTACCCCTGATGTTACATTGGTCCATTTCGAATACGATCCCCGAACTACTACTCGTTGACGATTTGTAAGAAAGTTTCTAAACCATTTCAGTAAAGCCCCTCCAATACCGTGCTGTTCCAACTTATACAGCAGACGTTCGTGTGGCACGCTGTCAAACGCTTTACTGAAGTCTATAAAAACAACATCGGTTGCTTTTGTATCGTTTCTAGTCTTTGCCCAGTCGTTGTAGCATAACAATAATTGGGATAAAGTAGACTTGTTCTTAAGATATCCAAATTGATTTTCATTAAATACTTTCTGACTGAGCCAAAATTCAACTGATCTATCCCGAACAATCTTTTCTGCTATCTTAGATATAATAGATGTTAGTGAGATTTGTCGGTAGTTTTCTCTCTTGCATTTCGAATTCTTTTTGTGGAGCAATATTAGCTAGTTTCCAGTCTTGGTGAGATTTCAGTGAGATTTCTGATGACTATTTTAATATCATAAATGTAACTTTTACCGAAAACCTAACCTAATCTCCCCTACAAGTTTATCCCGTGTATTATATTATGCATACTGTCAAAAGAAATGTGAGGCACGGTGACTTTGTTGGCCAAAAACATCGATGACTGTCCATATCATTCTCAAACTGTGTTCTATTAGTATATGCTCGCTCCATACAGATAAGAGAAATTATTGACCCATTGTGGAACGAAGGTACGTCTTCACCTTTCGTAACCCACTGAAAGATCTTTCTGCAGAACATGACGCAGTTCGAATCGATGCCAAGATGGAACTTGCTTTGTAGAAGACTGGAGTCATTCCTTAAAATGCCAGTGTCATGAGTACCGTACATCTGGCGTACCTCTAGCGTATTCAGCGTGCGCCTAGAGTAAGCTTATCGTATAAACCATACGTCCAAATACGCACAAAATTTTTAAGCCTGCTTATAAAATGTTTCTGTCTCGCCAGGCCTTGCCGTATGCCAGCGTATACTACCATTTGCGACCGTGCTTGAAACGTATGTCAGCGTATATACCAGCGTATGAGTAATATTTTTCATACGCTGACATACGCTAGCAATCTTTCATAACTATGGTGAACAACATTGTTACAATTAACAGCTACAATATATGATTTTCTTTAAAATGATAATGTCTCTTCGGTGGGAGTGATGTCTGTTTAGCGCCAGTTAGCGCTCGCGCCAATCAGTTATGGCACATAAACAGTGGCGCAAATAGAAAAGCAGTGTTTATTATAATTATTTTTGTCACCTTTATGAAAGCATATATTCTAGTTCCAATATTTTTAAAAATTTCGCATTTTTACTATTAATAGTGTTTGTTTGTTGGAAAGACCAAATTGATTTCAGGTATACAAGAAGATTGCCGGACTCTCAAGTACAAATTGCCCGACTAATGAATATTTCTGACTAAACTGGGGGGGGCTGCCACCCCCCCAGTCCCCCGCCTCGTACGGGAGGGGCATGCCCCCAGACCCCCTACAATTCTCGTGCGTTCGTCACTCGCCCCCCATCAAAATTTCGCAAAGTTTTCGCCACTGGTCACAACGACCCCACAACAAGCTACAATGACCCCACTGTTGTCCAACAACAACCCACAAGGAGACACAACGAGGCAACAATGATCCCAGAACGAGAAACAACTAGGCCTCTCCCGTTGTGCTCATAAAATCGCAAAAAGTTGCTCCCTAGAACCAAAAAGTTGCTCTCTAAAAAGCATAAAAGTTGCTCGAAAGTTGCCCGAAATAAAAAAAAGTTGCTACTAAAATTCAAAAAGTTGCTCGTACTCATTACGTTAATTTCACGAAATACGTTAATTAAGCTTTATACAATTTCCAAATTTTAAAAATTTTCTGGGTAGTATGCTCCCACACACATGGCCTTCGGCCATTGCTATCCCCCTCTAATAAGTAATGATAAATTACGGTTAATATTTTTTTAAACTTTTTGTGCGTTTTTTCCTTCTTTTATTTCAAATACAAGACAGTGTATTTAGCATAAATTTTGGAGCAAATTTGAATGCTTAGAATGCAGGAAATGGCATTTCCGTGCTTCAAATTTCAAAAATTTTCTGGAGAGTATGCCCCAGACTCCCTATTCATGCGTGGTATGTCGGCCACACACGTGGCCTTCACCCGTTCCTATCCCCCTCTAATATATTATCTCACAGAAAGGTCCCTTTTCAAAAAATGCCCCCCCCCCACGGGAAAATCCTTAGAAAAGGCCCTGTCGTTGTGGGATCATTGTTGCCTCTTTGTGTCTCCTTGCGGGTTGTTGTTGGATCGTTGTTGCTTGTTATGGGGTCGCTGTGGCTGGTTGTGGATCGTTGTGGCTTGTTGTGCTCCCTGCCAACATTGAAACAATTATTCAATGTTGATTCATTATCCAACAAACTATATTTGTATGCCAACCCTTTCCCGCAATACTATACAATCCCAAATCATCATCCCCTGGAAAGAAGCGGTGCCCCCTGAAGTAGTAGCAAATTTATAGCAGTATTTGACAAATACTAGTGTCAGTGATATATCTTTAAAACGCTTTCCTATTTCTACAGCTCAAAGTTGACGCAAATCCCGAGATCAAATATAACCAAGTAAGTTAACATGATATGTGCACAGCAATCCTGGACTTGTCATTGTTTGACAAGGTTGAACCAATCATAGAACTGTCTAAAGTTAGGCATGTTTGAAATGACTGAAATTCAACATTTACTCGTAGTGAAAGAATTGATTTACATAAAAAATTAACACATGTGTTTTATTTATGTCAAATTTTATTGCATTACCTAGATTTTTATCAACAATCAATTTCAAGACTCTGTAAGTGGAAACACATTTCCGACCATCAACCCTGCTACTGAAGAGAAAATTTGCGATGTTGCTGAAGGAGGCAAGGTACAGCCCAGTGATCAAATGTAACAGGCATATGGAAAGAATTAAGAAAGGATATTCTGTGACTGTGACAGCAGTGCTGCAATGCGCATGTATACTGATATTGCGAACAAATCAAGGTTTACACATCATTACTAGATATGCATCAAGCGTTTCAGTTTCTTGTGTTTCCAGACATTTCAGTTCTATAAGCTGCTTCGCCATGTTGCCTAAAAGGAACCCAAATTTCATGTATAACTATAGAACCAGCTGCAAAACTATAACTCTATAAACTTACCAACAGTTGCCCCCTGTTACTTATAGGAAAGAACTCAACTAATTAAGGGATTACATAAATTATTTTTCAAAAACTGATTATACCAAAGTCTGACTATAGTGCTCCCTGTGCAGTTAGGTTAATAAATTACTAAAAAATGCATGTTTTATACCATTACCTTAATTATATAAAGCCTAAAGGAAGATGGTGACCCTGCATATTTAATTTATATGAAGAAATTGCATACTAGGAATTCAGTTCCATAGGAGTTCTGTCTGTGACCGAGGCAACAGCGTGCCTGTATACTGCATTGCAAACAACTAAAACAAGTGGTTGCATATCAGCTGTATTTCAATTGCTTGTGTTTCCAGATCATGCATTTAGGCTAAAAGAATACCCAAATTTCTAATGTAACTATAAGTGTGGTCGAAAAAGTTAAATAAACCTTTCCGGTAATTACGTCACAACTACACCGTTTTCAACTTAGGACCGCCTTAAATTCGAAGGCCATGTTACACGGTGCAATTTTTCTTGCAACTTGCAATGCAATTCTACTCTTGAGAGATGTAAAATTGCCAAATACGAGTCTTCATTACACTCCGCTGATGTTTTCTCAACATATCGAAAATTCTTCACTGATTTCACCAATTAACATCTCTCAAGAGTAGAATTGCATTGCAAGAAAAATTGCATCGTGTAACATGGCCTTAAATGGAATAGATTTCAAGTTTGTTTCTCACGGGCTATGGTCAGAGAAGCAGAACATCCTTTACCATAGCCCGTGAGAAACAAACTTAAAATCCATTCCATTTAATTAGTAGGACATTTCCAGTATTCCGACATTTATATATAAATGTCGGAATACTGGAAATGTCCTACTAACTCTAATACATTTTCTTTCACAAACCCTGTATCAAACGGACACCTCAATAATACGGACATGCACTTTACTGTATCCACTTTAGCATCGAACTGTATACTTTATATCGAGTGTCCTTGTTTTATTTTTGTATTTGATATTAGTGTAGTATTGTTTACCCTGCAGGCTGATGTTGATCTTGCAGTCAAAGCAGCTACCGAGGCGTTTAAACTTGGCAGCCCTTGGAGAACTATGAATGCATCAGATCGAGGCCAATTATTGTATCGTCTTGCTGATTTGATTGAGAGAGACCGAGAATATTTAGCTGTAAGTTAACTATTAGTATTACAATTATAGCTGCATGTTAAATTGAATGTACGGTACATTTGATTACACATTTGGTTATGAACTGAAATGTAATGTATCATGTATACTACAGTATCAGACTTTGATCAAGACATACTTTCGTGACAAAAACCTCTATAGGTACAGTAATGTAAACTTTATACAATATATTTTCATATATAAAGGCGTAGAGAAGCGTGAAACTTTCACTCAGAAACTTTGGATTATAATAAGATCGTGTCTTTGAAATTGGTTTACGCTATGGCACACTTTAATATACCATTCTTTGCATGATACAGAAAATGCGATACATTACGAATTTTGTGACAACCACTACAGTTCCAACAGGAAGGCGTGGATTTATATACGTATTCGTTTGAGAATACTTTTCTTATTCAAGTTTTTGTTTACTACCGGTTTGTATTTTTTAATATCATCCTGCTACACATGCATGACCCATTTAAGTACTTATCGAAACCATATTTAAGCTTTTCAGAACAAAAAATACCCAAACGGTACCAAACTTTCGAAGTATATCTGGGAATTACGATAAAGTAAACAAAAACGTTTTAATAACTTGGTTCATCTTAAAACATTTCTTACACGAAAGGATAAAAGAAATAGTTTTGACCTACTGTATATACATAAAGCATTCAAATTTTAAATAAACCACCTTAACAAAAAAATGCATGGAACACGTGGGCGCCCACCCACGTTTGGACCACGACCATTTAAGCAGCTCACTAATCGTCGTCAGTCACCTGAAGAATCCTTCTTTGCTTTGAAAAAGACTGTAGTGGAAAATTTGCGAAACTATACTTCACAGAAAAGATAGTTGTAATGAACAAGACATTCTCTTCAACGGCTCATTGAATGCCATCCACTCCTAAATTTATTTAACCAAGTTAGAAAGCCAAGGAAATTTATTTTATACATACGAGTGCGAAGAGCCTATGAGAGTCTATGCATTGCTCTTTAATGTATTACTTGCGTTTTACATGTATTTTCTCCAGAGTCTTGAAAGTCTTGACAATGGCAAACCATGGAAAGACGCGTATTCAATTGATCTTCATCTGGCATTGAGATGTTATCGCTATTACGCTGGTTGGGCTGATAAGATACATGGCAAAACCATTCCATGTGGTAAATGAAATTTACATGATTTCTAAATACGTATATTTCCTAGAATCGTTGTTTTGAAACTTCTACACCTTTCTACGCCCAGACCATTTCAGGTGGAGGCAAAGATAAACACCCAATTAGTGAATTAGTGAATTAGTACATTAATTACACTAATTATTATTGACACGAAAAGTTACTTTATTCTGATTGGTCGGACTGAAAATAGAGAATGGTGTTAACGACAAAATTATCCAGTTTTCCCTCGTCCATTCGATCATTTTAGATGGCGATTTCTTTGCATACACACGTCTTGAACCAGTTGGTGTGGTTGGACAAATTATTCCCTGGAACTTTCCTTTATTGATGCAAGCGTGGAAACTCGGTCCAGCTCTTGCTGCAGGAACATGTATTGTGATGAAACTTGCAGAACAGACACCATTATCAGGACTCTATATTGCAGCTCTAGCTGCCGAGGTACAGTATATATACTATTACTTTTTATTATTATTCATCTAATTATGGGAATAAGGCCTGTTTTATACGTCGAATTTCGATCGCGTCGAATGTAATACAAACAATAGATAATGAAGCTTAATGAGGTTTATCATCTTATTATTTATTGTCTTAGTTGCATTCGATGCGACCAAAATTCGACGTATAAAACAGACCTAACTGGTGCAAATTAATAATACGTCATTTGCAAAATATCAGCGGAACAGTTTCTACTCAGTCTCAGCATGCATGCACATTTTAAAAGGCAATTTGCAGTTGCAAAATATAAGTAAACATGGTTACAATTTATCATGTTTGCTTGACTAAAGAATGTCGAAAAAACAAAAACGCGACAAAAGCTGCCGAAAAAAAATAGGAAGAAGACAAGTTACTGGCGTTTTCGGCTGACCTGGGAAGATTCGTTATTGTTCTTGTTTGTTAATCTTTGAGAGAGACAATGAGAGTGAGACATGAAAAATTTGAAACAACTATACAATATATTGAACTCAGTTATCGTAAATATGTTCCTACAGGGGCCGGTTGCACGAAAGCCGGATAGCGTTATCCACTGCATAGTGATTTTTTCAAGCTTTCTTGAATTAGCCGTTGGTTGGTATAACCCAGATTAAACTTACTAATTAAGTTTCCTTTTATATTAATTATGGGATCCATGTTCGTAGTTTTTTTCACTTTTCAAGCATTTTTACAACGGTTGAAAAGATCACTATCCGGTGGATACAGCACCATGATGTTTTCATATAAAAGTGGGTGAAGTTTCTTTCGGTGTAAATTCAAATTCATATAAATTGTACAGTAGAATTAATGCATGCAAGTGTCTTCTGTGTGTCTCTTCTTGTGTTGTATTAATTAATAAAGATTTTTTTCTAGGCTGGATTTCCTCCTGGAGTTCTTAATATTGTTCCTGGTTATGGTCCAACTGCTGGAGCTGCCATTTCTGAACATTTGATGATAGATAAAGTCGCTTTTACCGGATCAACGGAGGTACGAACGGACTGTACGCCCATGAACTTGTGGAGGGGGGAGACAGGGCTGCAGAAATAATAGACTGTGCATTTGACCCGAAATAGGTTAAAAATGAAAAAGTGGAAGCTGGGAAGTAAAAAGAGGGGGGGGGGGTTGCTGCTGAATCTCTGGGAACCCCATTATTGGATTATATCTCTGTGGTCAGTCACTGCCTGTACTGTATGTACAACCTCGTTCCCAGGCTCCTACCTCTTGTGGAGGAAAGACCCTGGTAGGATGGTAGGAGCTGGTCACGTGATCTGCTAAAATCTAGCAGAATTTTAATTGATGACGATGATGTTGATAAATATTTGATATTTATCATTGATTTTATTTTATTTTAAAGGAATCCAAGCTCTCGTTAGCCCGCTACCAGCCCGCGCGCCCGTTGTTCAACACTGAGCTATATAAATACTTTGTACATTCAATAATATGCTTTCAATAAAACATGGATGGGATCCCTGTATAGAAATCTGCTACATTTTAGCAGATCACGTGACCAGCTCCTATACCAGGGTCTTTCCTAGGCTTGGGTAAATTATGCTCGAAAATATGGCTATTATGCCCGAAGGCAGTGCTCGTTAAAACAATGTATTATGCTCGTGAAACAGCCTATTATGCTCAATTATATGCTCGAGCAAAATTCAATTTTAATAGGTACAAAAACTCAAAAAGTCGTACATTTTAGCTTTAAAATGTTCCGCAAACAAGCCAGATCTGACTTTCTGGGAGCTCTCAATACAGTCTAGCATTTACAACTAAATTATTTCCTTCTACTTCTTGCCTTACTTCAGATTCCTCATCGTCTATAAGTACTAGATAAAACATGAGCAGCCGATCTGTATCTGATATACAAACTCGAGCCGAAAGCGAGAGTTTGTATATCAGATACAGATGGGATGCGAATGTTCCATTATTTTTATTTCGGATGCGAATGTTCCATTATTTTTATTTCTTTAGACTCTAGCCCCAAAGCCAAAGCATTATTTTATTATTTTTGAAATCTTTGCTCGAAAACGGCCTATTATGCCGACTATGCTCGTAAGTGCCTATTATGCTCCTGAAGCCCTATTATGTTCGAAATTATGCCGGCATAATTTACCCAAACCACTCTTTCCTCCACAAGAGGTAAAAGCCTGGGAACGAGGTTGCTGTATGTAAACTGTTTAAACAGTCCTGTTTTGGCTACTCTGGTTTTGCAATGTAACTCGCAAGGAAATTACACTTCTATTTGTGTAAATTTTGATATCTAACGGCCTTTTTTTTTGGGGGGGGGGAGTTTTATTTTATTTCATTTTATTTTATTTTACAATAACTGCCAAAGACAATCAATATAAATACCATTAAGACATTAATGTCCACACTGCACAGGTGGGGAAAATAGTTCAAGAAGCCGCTGGTAGAAGTAATTTGAAGAACGTCACTCTGGAACTTGGTGGAAAAAGTCCTAGTATTGTGTTTGCAGATTGTGATATGGATAACGCCGTTGAAATGAATCATGTTGGTTTGTTCCTCAATCAAGGTCAATGTTGTATTGCTGGCAGCAGAATATTTGTCGAGGAATCAATTTACGACGAGTTTGTTGCAAAGAGTGTTGCTAAAGCTCAAGCAAGAGTTGTTGGTGATCCTTTTAATGAGAAGACAGATCAAGGTCCACAGGTACAGTGGTACAATAAACCCCACACAAAGATGCGAGTGCGCGCGGTGTGTAATAGTCCAGCCAACTCAGTCTGAGAGCGCAAAGAATGACTGAAACGACTTTTTGAATGAATTTTAAGTGCTGGCAGTACGGGCCTTAGACCGAATACAATACAACAACTGAATAGTCTCCCTCGCAGCCGCTCGTTGTGTCGAGGTTTCTAACAACTGAACGGCTTAAAAGAAGGAATGTATGTGCAGAGTAATTGATGTTTCGCTTCCTGTCAGAAAAGATTAGTGCAGTGTTTGCAACATAATTTCACTGATAGCGTATTTATATAGCTAGTGGTTAGTTTAGGTTCTCATTTTGTCCAATTTCAGGTTGATAAAGAACAATTCCTCAAAATCATGGATTTAATTGAGAGTGGTAAAAACGAAGGAGCAAAGCTGGAATGCGGAGGAGATCGTAGTTCAGATAAAGGATATTTTATTCAACCTACTGTGTTCACTGATGTGCAAGATGACATGCGTATTGCAAAAGAAGAGGTAAAACCGTCATTTGCAATATGACAACCTTTCTCTACTGGAAACGCAGACACCTACAAATAGTCCTGGTTCGATCTACCTGAGTATTTTATTCAAATATTTCGTATTTATCTATGCTATAGCCAAATATTTATGTGCCAGTCCAGCAGCTTCTTAGAAGACCTCCTCCATTAAACGAATTTCACGATCATGCGCATTGCGCAGTTGCGTTTTAAGCTAAAATGTTCATCGTTTCTATCGAGATTTTTGGTGATTCAATGTTCTGCCTTTTGTTCCTAACTTTGCCTTGAGCTATTCTCAACTCTCTCTTTCTGGTTAAGAGATTCATTTTTACCCCAAATAAAAATGTGAAAACATAGTTGATGAAAATGACCAGCATCGTGATCGGCGTGAAACTCGTATATTGAACGAAAGAATGGCGCGGATTGAGAGACAACAATTACCTGAAAAATATAAACAAAACTTCGACGTTTCGAGCGCTGGCCCTTCGTCGGGAAGTAACGAACTAACTTCTCGACGAAAGGCCTTCGCTCGAATCGTCTTATATTTTTCAGATAGTTATATCTCTCTCAATCCGTAGCTGCCTTGTCATCATCGCCGTTCCTGATTATTGAACGAAAGGTTTTCTAGAGAGCAAAGCAAGTTCATTAAACTGAACATAAATGGACTGAAAAAGGAGCTAATGATTCATAATAATTAAAACTGCTGTTCTTACATTTACAGTCAAAAGATCCGCTTCCGCTTGTGTAGTCAGTTGTATTTTTTTGTAATATTGTTCTGTTTATTGCAGCGGTTACCAAATTATGAATAAATACGGCGAATAACTTTAGTTTAGGTTGCTTTGTTTATGATTATTTGTAACAAAGGATGCACTTTTCGTTAGATTCACTACATTTTAACACATACAAGTTGCAAAATTTCAATATTATCGTCGCATTTCTCCATAACCGGAGTAACAGTAATTTACAAATTACATGCAGTGAAGCAGAATCTTGTATTTTGGCCGATGCCATATATTATACTGAGTAGCCTATATATACGTTTTAATTCATATTGTTTACAAGAGTTTTCAAATGTTTATCCTTCTAATTACCTCGCATATATTTCTCTCCGTTGTATTTCAGATCTTTGGACCAGTTATGCAAATATTGAAGTTTAAAACAATCGATGAAGCGATTGAACGAGCAAATAACACAATGTATGGTCTTGGCGCCGGAGTATTCACCTCCAACTTGGAAAACGCTATCATGACATCGCATGGAATCAGAGCTGGACTTGTTTGGTGAGCAAAATGAACAAGTTGTAGGCAATTTTGAAGGCAATTTGGAATGTAAATAAGCAGTGGCTACTTTCAGGGCATTAGATGAGAGTGTAGGGGATCAAATTCGTTCCAAGCCTCTTTCGTCTATGTCTTTTTTAACAGCTTTACATGTAATTTGGCACGTAGATAACTAGACCTTATTGTACATAATTTACATAGACAATTGGATTTAACAAGAAATTGGAGAACACTAACTAACACAAGCGAAACGCAAACAAGACTATAGGTCGCATGCATGGTGCTCACCACTACATATGTGATGTATATATAGGACGTAGTCGGAGAAGCTGGTACAAGCAGAAAAATGTAGGAATAGTGTAGGTCGTCATAAGAATATATAACTGTTCTTTTCACTTAATTGTAATCAATAATTCCAACCTTACTCCACCAGGGTGAATTGTTACGACATATTTGACTGTACCGTTCCATTTGGTGGATACAAGATGTCTGGAACCGGACGAGAACTGTGAGTTCATTAATTATTGTATTTGAATAATGAGCTTGACAACTTAGCATTTGTATGAAGTACAGTTGTTGATACGAACACTTTAACGATCAGATTTGACACACACAATCTTCTAACCTTGCAGGGGAGAATATGGTTTGTCGCAGTATTCTGAAGTGAAAACGGTACGTAATCTAAATGGCTGAATCCTAAACTTGTCTCTAAGCCTTCATTTATATCCAAATGCTAATATAAACTATATATCTATAACGTTCTAGTGGTGTTTCAGTTCTTACGAGTATGTGCAGGGCAAGCAGAAAATTCGACTTGACCACGAATGGGAATCGATCCCGCGACCTTGGCATTTCTAAGGGGCTGTTTATATGATCCCGCTTATACCCGGGATTCGATGAAGTGTGACGTATTTTGAGCAATTGAAATATGTCTCACTTCATGATCTAACAAAATTGCTTGTTACAAATTGTATGAAATTCCATGTTTTAGACAAAAAAAACAAATGTTGTTGAATGCTATTAATCGACTTCTTCCACCACATAGCTTCTAGCGCGTTCCTAATTTCGTTTAAACAATATTTAAAGTTATCTAACTTTTGTTTATGGCTGAAAAACGTATTTCAATTGCTCAAAATACTTCACACTTCATTGAATCCCGGGGTAAGCGGGACCATATAAACAGCCCCTAGAACGACGCTCTATACCGTCTGAGCTACAAGGATAAGTTGAGAACGATGTTACTTATTTGTGATGTTATTGAGGTTAGGCCTAGGTTAGAGAGTTTCATTGGGTTTCGTATAGTAACAGTACTTATTTCACTGTTGAAATTTAGATCATGACGAAGATTCCACAGAAGAATTCCTAGAAATGATGACACTTTGCTTGAAGAGCTCAAAATGTAGAGCTTTACTTTAATTTCATAAAGTCAAACAGGAAATGTGTTTCTAGTATAGATTTTACATTACATGCATGCACACTACTGTTAGAATTATTAATTTGCTGTTGTACTGTGACGTTTAGTGGATGTATCCGTATTTGTAGAAGTTTTTTTTTTAATTTGTAGAAATAGTATAATGCAAACATTTGTGTCAATTTAAATAATCTCGCTTGTTTGTTTGTTATCTACTTTTGTTGTGACACTGATAGTAAGCGTATATCGATCCTCTCTAATGCATTATTGTGCATGTGCACAGGTTTGCCCGCAAGTTCCGTAGCTAGGCACATTCAGATTTCACAGGGACGTTCAGGTATGTTTCGCACAAAATGGCATTGCTACCACATTTTATTTCGATTTTACTAGAGAGAGGGAACTTTTTCAAACAGGAGGAGAGGATGTCGCGTGACTCGAACCTATTCCCAGACCCCACCGGTCGCTGGTCAGCGCGGTAGAATTCAAAATGGCGGCGAAATTGGTCAGCTAAAATATTAAGATATTTATACTTTATTTTAAAACTTTCATTTTGTTTTGCAAGTTTAATTTGAATCCAAGATAGTTAATTAGAAATCTGCTAGATTTTAGCAGATCAAGTGACCAGCTCCTACTAGGGTCTTTTCTCCCTGCCTAGTCCCTAGGCCTCTTAGTACGCTTATTACGTAGTAGGTGACTGCTCCACAAGAGGTAAGAGCCTGGGAACGAGGTTGGTCGGAAATATGTTGGGTCCCGAACATTTTTTGGCCCACACCAATTAATTCACTCCCCCAAACTAACAACTATTCCTCCGCCACTGGCAGTCATTGTGTTATGTTGTTGTCTGAGTTTATGTTAATTTGTGCACAGTCATGCAATCTCGTTCCCCGAGCCTGCGATCCTCGGGAAGGAATCGAAGGCTCTGGGATAATCCGTTACAGGAAGCCAAGAATCCTGGCTAAGATTGAACTGCGCATTCCATTTCAATGGCCAATCAGATTTCTCCCTGAAACGGATTATCCCAGAGCCTCGCGTTCCTTCCCGAGGATCGCAGGCTCGGGGAACGAGATTGACAGTCATGGTGATTGAGCTCATTTGTATTTAGTCCGGCAGATAGGAGAGGGAAAAACTCAACCTCGTCCCCAGGGCCTTTAAAGGCCCTGGGGACGAGGTTGGGAAAAACTTGCAGCATCAGAAAGCTTATAAAAAACTATATAAGATATTTAAACGGTTATCTTGATTTTTCAAGCGGTGTTCGAGTTATTGCTGTTCCAAAGTATGAAAAATAGACCAAAATCGCGCAATAATCCTGGGCGCTAGTCCAGAAAGACGTTTTCAAAAGCTCGTAACTCGAGAAGAACTGGAAAAATCAAGGTAACCGTTTAAATGTCTTATATGTAGTTTTTGTACGCTTTCTGATGCTGCAAGTTATTCTTTCCATAAATGAACCTGAAAATGGGAAGTTTCACGTTTTTGACTATATATAGATGTTTAAAAATTAATAAAGTTTTTAAATAGGAAAATCGAAGAAAAACGTGTTGGCAGGAGCCCACAAGAACATACTCTGGGAACGAGATTGAGACTATGGAAGTATGGTTGTGATAAATTCTTAATTATTAAAACCTCCGAAAACTTTCGAATTTAATTCACACACTTATATAGACTATGTAAATGCAATGACCTATCTAGCTTTTTAATGGCACTAAAGTAAGTTAAAGTTTCTGCCAGTAGTGTCCGGACTGGCAAACCCCCTATTGCTTGCAATTGTAGAATGTGCAGTTTTCATAAAAATGTCATAAAATTAGCATTAAAAAATTAGTTTGTGTTTTATTTAATTGTCTCATTTCTTTGTTTTGCCTTGTGCTTACCTCTCTCGTCAGCCTCGTGTATTATTTTTATTGGCTAATGTCTCTTAATAATTAAACACAATTTACTACATTTTAAGTACTAAGGAAATTTTAACAAGGGGCCCCCGCCCAGCCTCGTCCCCGGCGCGTGAGAAGGGCCTCTGACTGGCTGAGCCTCCTGCACCTTAAATAATTAGTATTCTAATTAAAATGTAAATATTTAAATTTGGAATTATCGGAGTAAATCCGCGCATCGTGTTTCAACAGTTGGATCTCTGTGGTTCAATCGCTGCTCGTGTTGGCGCTGTTAAAAACGTGAAGGTTGGTCATTTCAACATTGCAATTATTTAGATGTGTGATTTCAATACTAAGTGCAGTATTTAGCTTTACTAAAAGTAGATTACATGTGCTTGTTTTGCTTTTATAACATAGCCTCTCAACACACTCTCAATGGCGTTCTTGTCGAATTCGCTGAATGTTGCAGGTCGTGCGCTGAGAACAAATGCATATTTATCCAACGTAGTGCGTAAAGCTTGGTACACTCAAACGCAGGTGAAATATTTTGTTTTTAATTTTTTTTATTTAATTAAACATATTTATGCGTTCACCCCAAGAGCGCGATCTAAGCTATTTAATATTTAACAAATATAAAACATTTTCCGTGTTGATATACAGTTATATCAACACGAGTGGAAATTGGGAAAACGAGAAATTGTGTGGAAACACGACGCCCGAAGGGCGGAGTGTTTTCACACAATTTCGAGTTTTCCCAACTTCCACGAGTGTTGATATAACTATATATCAATACGGAAAAAAATTTTATATTTGTTTTATAATATAGCAATGTCAAAAGCCCGAAGAATAAGAACAATTTCCGTGTTACAAGCGGCGGAAAATTTCCCGTGTTGACATGGAGTTATATCAACACGGCTCTTAGCCAATCAGCGTTCAGAATTTACAAATGCTATATTATAAATATATATATCAAGCTAAATATCAAGGAAAATACATTATAACTGAAACTATTTATGAAAGTGACAATTGTGCGCAGTGAATGTGATCAAAGACAAAGTAGCCTAGGATGAGATCGCTCTATTTTCCATCGTGTTGCCCGTGCAGAATTTGGACAGAAAAATTTGCATTCGACGGAAAATAAATCAAGAAAAAATATTAATATTAAAATTTTCTTGCAAAATTTCAAGTGTAGTAGTACTACTGCTAAAGATCTGGTGATACTACGAAAACCTCTGAGGTAATGTTTCAATGTTATTTTGATGTTTTGAAGTTTATAGTCGATCCCCCGCGACGTGTTGACTCAAGTCTAAACTCTAAATATATGTTTAAAATGTTTAATTAAAATGAAATATCTAGAATTCCCATGGTTCGATTTTCTTCATTTTTGATAGACGTCAAGACAAAAGTATAACTATAAGCTTTAAAAATTTTAAATCTGCTGTAATGTCCCGGTGATACAGAATCAATAGTGCATTCCCCGGCAGTTTTCGAGACATTGACCGTTGAAGATATTGACCGTTTCCAGACGAGCTGATGTGGTTGTGGCAAATCGAGCTGCGATTCCTCAGCGTGGACAACTCAGTGTCATAACAGCCCATTTCAAACCAGCAGAGAGCTCCACTTGTTTTAAATTAAAACAATAAAACAAGTTTTTATTGTACATATAACAAATCAAGTATCATAGGCATGTTAATATTGTGGGAACTATTCTCTCATCAATTTAATAAATATTATATAAATAGACATCTTCTTGTTTTATTGTTGCATTAATTTTAATCTGAAAAAATACTCACAAAGTAGGTCAAGTGCATGGATAAATTATTCATTTATTCTCTAAAGCACATTTTTACAATAAGGCTGCGTCCAGACTGGGTGCCTGGCACTGGTGCCCGTCACTTGCTTTGGCGCCTAGTTTGAACATGATGCTCCAAATGAAATTGGGCACCGTGCGCAAGAAAGGGAACTACCTCTAGAAGTAGTACTCAACAACGGCACTGTGCTCAACATGTTTTGTGAACCATTTTGAACATTGGGCACCAGTGCCGGGCACTCTGAACACTCTGGCAAGTCTGAACGCAGCCTTAGTCTTATTTGCATGAGTGGCATGAGTAACATGACTGAATGACAGATTGTTTTATCAAGTACTTGTTAAAACATGATCAGCCAATCTTTATGTGATATACTTGCTAAACATAGTTGCTATTATTTATATAAAAAAACATCTGTCAATGTTCATACACTGCTTTTTCCTGCCACTTGAGTCTCCCACTCACCAGGCTGGTTTCTTTATGAAAATATTTGGATAAAATCCTATTTTAAAAAAGTCAACCCTATACTTGATCATAGTTAATATAATGACTTGATACACTGAACATAGACATCCACAACATCTCCTGCAGCAATTAGTGGGTGCAAATACTAGCATATGGGCGATTACCGATTACTTGGTATCGATACCACCCGATACCAGGCCCAAACCGGAAAAGTAGTCTATACTGCATGGTATCGAAAAAGTGTTTTGATTACTTTTAAAATTAGACATTATAGTCGTGTTCCTTTACTATCAGTTGACATTCTATCCACTCCCTTATTAATATTCCTGACCTCGCCGGCAGAATAAATTATGAAAAAGGTGGGAAATATATCATTACTGTTAAAAATACGTAACTTTCTGAAAAATTAAATATATCGTTACTGTTACATTAAAAGGCTACTTCTTTAACAGTTGACTCTTTAATGTTAAGTGACTTACATTTATTATTTTGAAAATTGGAGGAAGTAATCGTTTGGGTAATCGATACCTCGATACTTTTACGAAAAAGTAATCGGTATTGTATCGAATCCGATACTGGTGGTATCACCCATCACTAATAAATACTTGCATAGTTCAGAAGCAATATAACCAACATGTGTCCATCCAGTTCCATAGTCTAGATCAGTAGGCAATTCCAGCTTTTAATTTATGCATGCAGAAGGTGACGGGAAGTATTAAGGTATCATTTTGCAGATTATGCTGAAAAATTTTACTAAACTGCCGAAACAACCAACATATTTCAATATTTACAAGTATAAGCTATCACTCCATGTTTATACAGCCACCATTTTTATTTTTTCAGCAATATGATACCTTACTTCCCATCGCCCCCTGCATGCATAAACTAAAAGCTGGAATTGCTAGCTATTGCACTTGGGTCCCTTGGTTCAATGGCACTGGCCGTATTCTTACATTCACTGTTTTATCTTGTTTCTGAAGAGTGAGGTATGCCTTAATTTTCCAAATGATGTTGGTAGTTTTTCTCATGAGCAGCACCGATGCACTTGAATGGTACAGCTTCTTCCTCCTCATCACTTTCACCTTCATCACTTATGCACCAATCAATTTATACTGTTAACATTCCCCCTCCCCCAGGCATATACCCCCCCCCCCCGGGC